CAAGAGCTGGGATTACAGGCGTGCGCCACCACGCTTAGTCTCAATTGCTGTCTCATCGCACCCCAGGGGAGGGGCCGGCATGGCAGGCCCAGCGATTGAACCCCGGTCCCTGCGTCTGCTTGCAGGTGCTTTAATCTGCTGAGCTATTTGGCCAGCCCTGTTTTCATCAATTTAAAAAATTATTTAGTTTTTACAGTGTTTCTTTTCTTGGTTTTGACATATTTCTAGGGTATCATATGATGTCTCCATGCTTGCATACACAGTAATATTTGGGAGGTGACTACTTATGATTGGCAAAATATAATCATTATGTGGATAATTTTATTACATACATATGTGGTTGTTGTTCTGGGGATTGAGCCCAGGGTCTTTGCCCTCCCTCAGCTACATTGTCATCTATCTATCTATCTATCTATCTATCTATCTATCTATCTATCTATCAGACAAGGTCTCACTAAGTCACTAAATTGTCCCGACTGGGCTCATACTTGAGATCCTCCTGCCTCAGTCTCACAGAATGCTGGGATTATACACACATATCCCCATGCCTTGGTAAATGTAATTTATAGTAAAAGCACTACCGTTGCACTGTTGTAACAGGCATTAATTGGTTACTGCACAGAGTGTGGGGAGAAAAACGAATTATGGTGGGGTAACACCCCCAGTCCAAGGTGCTTTTCCTATTTGGATTATAGTCTATCAAAAAACCTTTCAGTGGGGCACGAGGACGCACGCTCCTATGGGATTGGTTGGTGAGAAAGCTGCTGAAAGTCTGACCTTAGTCCAGAAAATTTGCCGTCCAGTAAAGACAAAGGGACTTTCATGTATCAAGCATGTTAAGGACTACAGGAATGTGTGACAAGTGTCAGAAGTGAGGGGCAAAGGGTAAATTCTGTGAATGTTTGAAGGAGAAGGCTGTGGGGACACAGGCCTGGTCCCCACTCTGTACACCCACGTTGGGGAGGCCTGTGTCCAAGGTGCCCAGGGAGTCCGCAGGGGTGGCAGGGCCTCCCTCTACTGCTGGTGCTAATGGCACCACGGCATCTTCACGCCTGGTACTACGTGGTTGGGTTTGGCTTTGGGTTCCGGGGTCTGCACTCGGGCCCTTCACACAGCCACCACCCGCCCCAGTCCTTTTTGTGCTTTTCGAAACAGTCTTGCTAAGTTGCTAAACTGCCCTAGTTGGCCTCAAATTTGCAATCCTCCCCCCTTAGTCTCCTAGAGTACTGGGATTTCAGGCATGTGCCATCATGTCTGGCATGATGCAACATATTTGTTTATTTATTTATTTTTGGAACTGGGGATTGAACTCAGGCACTCGCACTTGCCCGGCAAGCGCTTATACTACTGAGCTATCTCCCCGGCCAATACAACATATTTAAAGGGTGCTCATTAGTTGTTGGCAGTTAAAAGGAAAGAAAAATAGTAAGTGCACATTGCATAAATAGGCAAATTAAGTCTTACTCTTTACTGAGGGGGCTCTATCTTGCAGACACGGCAGGAGGTTGGGGCACCGTGTAACCAAGTTGAAATGATACTTATTCTTAAGAATATTGTGGGCCAGAGAGATGGCTCAGTAGACTAAGTACTTGTCTGGTAAGTGCAAGGGCCTGACTTCAATCCCTGGAAATACAAAAAAAAAAAAAAAAAAAAAAAAAAAAAAAAAAGAATATACAGGTGGGGTGATGTTGGCCTGTAATCCCAACACTTGGGAGGCTGAGGTGGGAGGATCTTTGTGAGCTCAAGGCCAGCATGAACTGCAAAGCAAGACCCTGTCTCAAAAAGACCAAAAATAAAAAATAAAAAATAAATAAATTCCCTTTGTGGTGGCACACATCTGTAATCCCATCATTTGGGAGGCTGAGGCAGAAGGATTGCTAGGAGTGCAAAGCCAGCCTAAGCTAAACAGCAAAACCCTGTCTAAAAAAAAGAAAAACACCAAAAAAAAAAAAAATTCCCTTTATAGTATAGTGTGGGAAATTTAGTGGAATTCAGGATTACTTCAGGATTAACAGATTACTTCAACCTAGGAAAGGAAATATTACCTTTTGTTGTTGTTTTGCATGGGTCAGGAGAAAGATCCTCCTTCTAGCGAAATTTCAGATGGGCTCTCAGATGGAGAACCCAGGCTTCTGATATTAGACTTGTCTCTACTTTTAAAAACATTATCAAGGGCCGGCCAGATAGCTCAGCAGACTAAAGCGCCTGTTTAGGCAGGGCGCAGTGGCCGGGGTCGATCCCTGGCCTGCCGTGCTGGTCCCACCCTTGGGGGCACACTGAGCTGGCAGTTGAGATTGGGCATGGTGGCATGTGCCTGTCATCCTAGCACTTGGGATGCTGAAAACAGAAGAATCACCACAAGTCCGATCTACATAGTGAGACCCGTAATAACTACAAAAACCAAAACCAAACCAAACCATTATCAAATGCAAATCAACTTTGGGGACATGAACCACAGCTCCTGTTTTCCTCAGTGCCCTCAGGTCCTCACTCGTCTTACAATTCTGGAGGACGCGGGGTGCTGACCCAGCAGGAAGAACGTGCCAGGGCTGCAGGGTGCTTCCTACCAGCGGCTTCACCTTTTTCTTCGGGTTCAGGGTAAGTGGCAGGTGCTCCGCCTCCTTCAGCCAAGCCTCCCTGGGCAGCTTATACACGTCCAACCACGTGTCACCAGCTCCTGCACTGGGAATTAAAGAGTCCCTGAGCAAAAGCAAGCAGGTGACAAGTCTCGGCCCGAGCCTGCCTGCCCGCTCAGAACTGCTGGCTCAGATCACAGGCCCTTAGTCGTGGCACACGGGAAGGTGACTTGGTCAGGTGGAAGTGCACATCATTTTGCCAGGGTGATTTCGAGTCTCATCTGTCAAGTAACTTTGGAGAGTTGTCACTTCCTGCCACCGCACTGTAACGGCCACGGGCTGCTCACAGCTGTGGACCCATCTGCTCGGCCCACCTTGGGCTCTGCTGCAAATAGTAAATCCTAGGGACATTTCCCTGCCTGCCTGGAGGTAGCACATGGATGAGCAGTGAGCAAGTGTGGGGCAGAGGCGGGGTCGGGGTCGGGGGCAGGGGCAGGGGCAGGGGCAGAATCAAGAAACATGCTCCAAGGAATTTGCTGCCCCACATTTGAAGAGAAGACAAGGTCCAGGGTGGATGTGGGACTTACTTTGTTTTAGAAACAGGCTCTGCTTCCAGAGTAAATGCCTGCCAAGCTGGGAAAGGCTACCGTGCAAGGTGTAAGAACCCTTCCGCATCCCCCTAAAGCATGGTCATCAGGCCAGCCTACTCTCAGGCTCCCGGCCCCCTGAACCACAAGAGAATGAATATCCATTGCTTTGAGAAAGTATAAAATAGAGGACCATATAGTCTAAATATTTAGAAGTTGAAAACCAAGACAATAAACATTTGAATAAAATATGTTCTGTTAACACAGGCAAGACTGGATCATGAATGCTTAGCTTGGCGTTGTAATTTGATGAGGAATGGCTGTAATCTCTACTTGGGAGGCTGAGGCAGCAGGAACACTACCAGTTTGAGGACAGCTTGGGCTATACAGTGAGTTCACGGCCAGCCTGAATCACACAGCAAGACCCTGTCTCAAAATAAAATAAAGCAAAACAACAACAAAAGCAAGAATACACCATCTCAAACTCTCTCCCCCAAAATATTTACTAGTCACTGTAGCGGCTTTAATATATGTCCCATGATTCTTCAATGCCCTTGCTTCCAGCAGGTGCCTAAGTCATCTCCCCCTGAGAGTGGGCTGTATTTAGTGTTCCTTACAGAGTGTAGAAAGGAAAAAATAACTATTTTGTCAACTACTCAGGAGGCTGATGCAGAAAGATTGCTTGAGCCCAGGAGCTTGAGGTCAACACTATAAGACCTTACACTTCACAGCAAAACAACCCCCCCCCAAAAAAAAAGAAAAAGAAAAAAGAAAGGGAAAGTAGGGGCTCTGCAGTGGAGGAACCTTAGGTGCCATCTGACCTGAGTGATGGAGGTTTAACCTAAGAAGTGGTCACGCTGCGGAGCAGTGGCCCTCGATGAGAGACGCTGAGAAGACACCGCCTCCTGCTATCCCCCCACATCCATGGCCCACGCTGGGGCACAGGAACACTTCAGATGCACCGAAGCTGAGGGACGTTCCACAAGACCTTTGACGGGTGTGCTTCCAAAGTGTCCCGGCCACAAAAATCCAGGAATGACCAAAAGACTAAGAAAGACCACAGATACACAAAGAGTAAAGTGACAGAACTGTGTGTGAGGGGGCATCCTGGTTTGAGCCTGGAGCAGAGAAAAAACTCATAAAGTTAGGAAAAAAAAAACTGTGGTCAATAGTTCATAGTTAATGACAGCATTAGTGGAGCAGGGGGAGGGCAGGGGACAAAAGGAGGGATTAAGATGTGTTAGGTGGGGCTAGAAAGATGGCTCAGTAGAATAAGTGCTTCCCTGGCAAGCTCAAGGGCCTGAGTTCAATCCCCGGTTCCACCAAAAAGGTACATGATGCGCTAACCCCCAACAGGAGTGTATGCTATATACTAATAAACTAAAAAATAAAAAAATAATGCATTGGTTGACAGTACTGTCAAGGTTGTTGACTTAGTCTGGTATAAATGTTGGTGAATGGGGACCTCTGTCTTATCTGCAGCTTTTCTGTAACTAGCATGATCCCAAGGGGGCACATGTGAACACTCTCCACTGCCCTGGGGAGACCTTGCCTTGCAGCAGGAAGGCTGCGAAGTCCCCGCCTTGGGAGGTCTCCATCTTCACACAAGTGGGCTGCTTGCTGCTATCATCCTGAAAAGAAAAGTGGTATGACAGAGAAGGCGCCACCTGAAGAACATGCTTCAGGGCTTGCTGTGGCTCACACCAGGCACAATCCTCAGCAAGCCTAGGAAGGGGAAAACTGCCCCCCTACTGCTTCCCATTCCCCCTCTGTGGGACTCGCTTTTCTGGCAAAAGCTTTTTAGACTCATTTCTGGTGTTTCGTAGCCTCCTAGTGGTCAGGTCTGCAAACCTAAAGTCTATGCTGGCAAACGTTCAACTGAATCAGTCTGTGTGACACTGAACTGGTCGGTGGTTGCCACGTACAGGGCTCCATCTAACAGAGCCTAGAGGTGACCCTGCTATGAACACACCCAAGTTTTAGGCACATTGAGAGTCCCAATGGTATTAGGTTGATAAGCTCTCTCTTGTTTAAGAAGTAGTTAATATTATATAATAATTACTTAACAACTTTCTGGGAACACTTGTGTCTCCTGTAAATTGTTGACTGGATCTGAGGCTGATTAAATTTATATTTCGTTGCCTTGCAGTGTCCCCAGGGCTGGCGCTGTGCTCTTCTTGTATCATTTTCTGAGGCCATCTCTCGTCCAATGACATCAAAAGGCTGGTAACTGAGAACCAGCTTGTGACTCTGACTTATTACCCTTGGAGTTCCCCAGCAGCCACTGATGGTCACTGCTGAGCTAGACCAGTGCAGTGCCAACAGGTACAGCATGGGCACAACTTGAATCTGTCATCTGTTCTGCATTTGTCAGAAGTCTGCAAAGATCTCTCCACCATCCACTGGTGGGTTTCCCCGAAATACATCCCATTTGGGGAAGTGAGGATAAATGCTTGATTCTTTCTCTTGTTAGTTTTCAGAACATTAAGTTTGTTTTCTGATCCAGCAAACTCCAAAGGGGAAAGGAAGGTTTTGTTTTTCTTAATGCGTTATTATGAGAACACGCCCTAGTCTTAGCACTCTTGGAGGCTGAGGCAAGAGGACTGCAAGTTTGAGCCCCGCTTGGGAGACTTAGTGAGACCCTGACTCAAAATTGAAGAAGGGCTGAGGATGTAGCCTGGCTCTAGTTTCATCCTAAGTACTTAAAAAATAAAGTATGGCCCAGGTAAGAGAATTTGTGTTCTGACTAGGGCAGCACAAAGGAAAGAGAGGGCAGCTCTTCCCAGCCATATGCGGAAAAAGTTCTCACAAAAGGAGAACTTGTGATTTGTGCTGGTCTTGAAGAATAGAAGAGACTTAAGCAGCACATGCGGTAGGAAGACAGGGAAGTATTCCAAACAAGAGAACAGCACGGGCTTAGGAACAGGAGCACAAAACAGTCTGGACAACGTAGGGACTTTGTAGTACTTCATGCACGTACTAGTCTGATGCTCCAGAGAAAAATTTGGACTGAAGTTCTTCAGCAGCCTTCTTCCCTTGACAACAACCTTCTTTCCTTGCAGCTTGCAAACCTGAGGGATGAGCTCTTCCAACTGGGTATTTTGGAAGAGGCTCTGACCAGGGAGGTGTCTACTTCTTTCTGACCCAGGAGAGTTTGCGCTGGCTTCTCATCAAGTAAATTTGTTCTGCTTCCCAGATAAAGGCAAGTGTGTGAGAACTCACCACTTCATTGATGCTTTTGATTAGGAAGAGGCCATCCTTATACAAGTAGAACAGTCTAATGATACCTGAAACAGAAGACCCAGCGAGAATGTAAGACACAGGAGCCCCAGAAGCATGGGATCTGCTATCAGACTCCCTGAATTACCCTTGGGAACTTCCTCTCCACCCCTGCGCCTGTGCTGCCCAGGCTCCCTTGGACAGCCACCCAGCCCTGCCTGCCTCTCCCCAAGGTCTCTGTAAGCACAAGGGGCACAAACCCATCCCTTGAGTCCCAGCCACCGGTGTGGTATGTCTTCCTTTCTGCTCCACGTTATCCACTATCACCCTTTCATGAGCTCATAGTCTCTGAGAGCAAGGGTCACCTCACCAGCCCACATGCCTCTGCTCCAATCACTCTCACACAGTTCATTCAGCTGAATGAATGATGGATTCCTTCGCTCTGGTTCCCATCTAACAAGGGCTCCAGGATATGATCATCAGCCACCGTGACATCTCCCCTTTCTCTAGTTGTCTCCCAGATACCCAGAACCTGCCTTGCCACCCCTGATGGAGGCCTCCTGGAGGCGGCTTGCCATAGGGGATGACAGCCTGGCTCAGCCTGATGGAGATGCACAGCTGCCTCTTCTGTGCACGTGAGTGCGCCAGGGACACAAGGCTGTCGGCCTTCCAGCCCATCAAACTGAGGGATGCGCTCCTGAGCAGTGGCGTCCTCCACAGGGGTGCTGCGGGTACCTTGAATCTGTGCGTGCTCATGTGGGACTCACAGCTCCTTGAAACCTATCTCCTGTCGCTGCTGTCAAGGAATGGCATTGTCATCTGCCCAGTGGCCTAAGGCAGGGAGTAGGACTCTTTACCCTCACTGCGGAGAGCTCTTCACCACCCACCCTGTTCACATATTTCAGTACTGTCTCTCTTTCTTTCTTTCTTTCTTTCTTTCTTTCTTTCTTTCTTTCTTTCTTTCTTTCTTTCTTTCTTTCTGGCAGAACTGGGGATTGAACTCATGCCCTTGCACTTGCCAGGCAAGCACTTATTCTACTGAGCCATCATCTCTCTGGCCCCTCTTTCTTTCTTTCTTTCTTTCTTTCTTTCTTTCTTTCTTTCTTTTTTTTTTTTTTTTTTTTTTTCTTTCTTTCTTTTTTTTTTTTTTTTGGTGGAACCAGGGATTGAACTCAGGCCCTTATGCTTGCCAGGCAAGCACTTATTCTACTGAGCCCCTACTGTTCCCCGGCCCCTACTGTTTTTCTATCATCTTCTCTTTTCCATTTTTTCCTTTTTCTTTTTAAACTTTTTATTTTGTACTAATCTCATGTTAGTAGGAAAGTTGCAATAAAATAGTACCACAAGTTCCTGTATACCCTTCATCACACACCCACTCGTTCAACACCGGACATAGCCACAGTGCCTTTTTCACTTTTCACTTTAGCAGCCCCTGCGTTGGCCCAGACCTCGATGACCTCTCCTAAATGAAGGCAGCAGCCCCTCCTGTTCTGTTTGCCTCTCGCTTCGACTACTTCAGACTCCTGCCTGGGGGTGCTTCGGGGTGCTGGCCTATGCCGGCTGTTGCTTGCAGAGAGGCTTGCTTTCACATGATCCAGATCAGCGACAGCTCTTCCTTCTTGCTCAGCATGTCCACCTCTCTCCCTGGCCAGCACTGACACTGTCTTCTCATTCCTCCAGAGTAGGGAAGCCTCCAAAGCCAGGGCAGCAGCATGGGGTGCCCATACCTAAGGGGCAGGCTAAGGGAGGCCAGCCTTTGAGGGGGTAAACAGTAGGAACAGCTCACCGACCCAGGCTGTGACCATGGTTCTATGCCGTACTCCTCAGGAAGGCTGAAGGAGAAAAAGCAAGGTCTGCTTTACATGGGCGGCAGGACTAGTGGGTGCTGGACAGTGTGGGGCCTCCTGCCTGGTTTGAAGCTGGCTTGTGGTACCCACTTTCCAGGTTATCTCAAGGGTATTATATTACCTCCAGACCTTGTGTGCTTTTTTTTTTTTTTTAAATGTATTTAGTACAGGGTCTACAGGGTCTCACTACACAGACCGGACTTGTAGTGATCCTCCTGTTTTTCAGACTCCCAAGCACCAGGATTATAGGTTCATGCCACCACGTCCAGTCTCATCTGCTGTCTCAGTGCACCCCAGGGGCAGGGCTGGCACTACAGGCCAGGGATTAAACCCTGCCCCCTGCATCTACCTAAGCAGGTGCTTTAATCTGCTGAGCTATCTGGCTGGCCTCTTATGAACAGGGCTGGTACATGGCACTTTTCTCCTAGGGCTGCTGGCTGGATTAAATGCTGCTTTTTTTCATTTGTTTGTTTTTGTTTTTGCAGTACTGGGGATTGAACTCAGGACCTTGCAAGTGCTTATTCTACTGAGCTATCTCCCCAGCCCTAAATGCTGTAAGTATTAAACAGTGCCTGGTATGCCATATGCCTTCTGTAGCTATTAGTTACGTGACTGGGGAGAATACTCTATGCCTGACCCCACTCAGACCTGCAAAGGAAATTAAATTGAATGGTCTAGTTGGTAGCTATACATTAGGTTAAAAAGTAAGATGAAAAACAAATACCCATTTCATCCACAGGAGCAATAAGTATTTCATTCCCTAAATCTGTGACCCAGATGGAAGTGACATCAACCTTAAGTTTCTCCCAAACATATACTTGTTCAGCATTGTACAGGTTATAGATCGAGAATCCCTTGGCTCCTCCAATAAATATATAGTCCTGTGACATAGCCATACAGCTGGGCCTTTGGCTGAGCTGTGAAGACAAAAGCAAAGAGAAAAGAACCTCATCTCAGCTGTCTTCAAGGGACATGAGGTCACTTTTCAAAGAGGGTCGAGGACTTTTCCTAGATATGTCGCCTCCAGAGCTCTGCATCGACAGCTCTTGCCCAGGTGTTGAGGCATTTGCAGCATTTCACATTTAGGGAAAGGAAGCCAAAGGAAACAGAGAGGCTGAGGACAGAGGCACATTCACACCACTGAGCATGGCCACAAGCGCTGTGTGTTAGTCATCCAGTGCACAGTGGGAAGAACAGAAGCAGAGGCATGGATGGACTCTTAACCATCAAGCAAGAGAGCAGATTAATACTTTCAGGAAGATTCTCCAGAACCAGCAGCTGAATGTAAAATGTCTCTGCATAAGCTTTAATCAGCCACATGCCCTGTTTCCCCAAGCGGTTACCAGATTTGTTTTGACGAGCATCAGTGTGCTTATAATTTTCCCCAAAGCACCTGTCTTGACCAGTGAAGGTGTTCGGGATGATTCTTTCTCTGGCACATGCAGGTGTTTTTGCTTATTAACACTGCACTGAGAAAGTGGAATGTCTGCTCCCTACCTGAATTTCTGTGAGTGGAGCATAGGTGGTGGGCTGGATCCGGGTCCTATCAGCTTCTCTCAGAGCAGCCCTCTCTTCAATAAGTTCCCATGAGCGGTCAAACAGAAGGTTCACCATCTTGTTGATCATTCGATATGGCTGAGGCAGAGAATCCAGGCCTTGGGCTGGATCATGGAGGACATAGTCCCTCTCCTCTTCCCCTTTATCATCATCCTCACACCAGTCCTTCTTTACGGGGCACAGCGCCTTTGGTGGGCCCTGTCGTGTAGAAACAGGTGGCCTCTTCTTCTGAATCCAGCCTCCTTTGGAGGAGAACATCACCAAAGATGACACTGGCAACCAGTATGAAAAACTGAGAAGGGAGGCACAGGGACTTAGAGAAGAAAAGGAAGCACAGGAAGACAACAGTATGCAATGTATTAATTATTGTAACTGTCATACTAACCTGTCTTGAAACTGTTTCATTGTTATTTTATCTTTTTTCTCATTAAAATGAAAAAAAAAAAGATTAAAAAAAAAAAGGAAGCAAGAACCCAGCACACCCTGCTTCTCTGGTATAATATCCTCTGGGCACTGTTTATTCCATAGACTGACACTTTCCTTGTTTATCACAGGATTGTTACCATGTTCCTTGGATATGGCCTTTGTAACAGGAACGCCATCAGGAGAGACAGCTGACTTCTGGCCAAACCAGATGATGTGTGCTGCGATCAGAGGTGGTCTTTTGTCCCAAATGGAATTCACTATCTTTCCTACAATGAATACCTTCTCCTGGCTGCCCATCCCTGCAAAATGACTGTGCTCACGGCAGCCAGGAGCTGGGCGATGATGCTCCTACTTGCTATGAGCTTCCTGCTTTCTTCTCTCTCACCCCCAATCAAAAGCAGCTCAAGCACCCCCCATGCCTGCTGTCCAACCTGCCCCTCTTCCACTCCGACTGCTGCTATCCCTGAGCTCTGTAGGTGCCATGCCTTGAGCGTAGGCAGTTCTGCCAGAGTCCACACAAATGCCTGAGGCATGAAAAAAATGGCTTATTAAAAAACCTAACAGGCTGGGGAAATGGCTCAGTGGAATAAGTGCTTCCCTGGCAAGTGCAAGGGACTGAGTTCAATCCCCGGTTCAGCCAAAATAAATAAATAAATAAATAAATCCTAATAAAATCAAAATAATTAAAAACTTGGAAAAAACAACAATAGCTTATTAGCTCCACTAATACAAAGTTCAAGTTTACAATCAGAATACAAGTAATCAGTGCCTCAGAAAACTCAAAATTGTGTCTGAAAAGCATTTTAAGTATCATAATTTAAAAAGCATTGAGTGGGCTGGGGCGATAGCTCAGCAGAATAAGCACTTGCCTGGCCAGCACAAGGCCCTGCGTTCAATCCCTGGCACTGCAATAAATAAATAAAAATAAAAATAAAAAGCACTGAATGTAGAACTTGGGAAGGACAGAGGAGTGGAGTAAGGTCTCATGTTGGCCGAGTGTCTGAGGCCCATGGGAGTCTGGTAAAGGCCCTGCTGCCACTGTTACCTTTTCTCGTACTGGGGCACACCTATGACACTTCCAGTTCCTGAGTGAGAAGACTCGCTGTGTTACTGGAGAAAGAAGCACCTGAAGTGATTAATGGAACGGTAGCCTGAGTTCACACAGGACCAGGAATAATTCTGTTTCAACCAGCCATACAGAAAAGTCGCATCATTCCTAACTTTGGGTAGACTCCTCAGAAGATTGTTATCTCGGTAGTGGGAAAAATTAGCCCCAGAAAAAATGCTTCACTGGTATTACTCATCAAATCTTAGAATCGGTAAGATCAAACCACTTCTAAGAAATTGAACTGCATCCTAGAATATTTACAGAAATCTGATGAGCCAGGGGGATGGCTCCGTATAACAAGTGCTTGCCTGGCAAGCACAAAGGTCTGAGTTCAATCCTCGGTTCTGCCAAAAAAAGAAAAGAGAAAGAAATCTGATGAAAGTTGACAATGTCTGGTATAAAATAAAAAAATTACCTGACCTAGAGAGAGAGAGACAAGAAAAAAAAGTTATAATGAAGAATAAAATCAATCAACTGAAGTCAATCCAGATTTTTAAGTTATAATTTTAAATAAATTAAAAAGTTTTAACTGTATTCCACATGTTTACAAAGCAAGGGGAAATGCTGAACATTGTTAACTAGTGGCATGGAAAATATAAAAATGTAATTTTTAGGGATGAAAAGCATAATTTCTTTTTTTTTTTTTTTTTTTGGCAGAACCGGGGATCGAACTCTGGCCCTTATTCTATTGAGCCATCTCCTTGGCCCTGAAAAGTATAATTTCTGAGATGAAAAATATACCAGATTACATTAACAACAAGATTTCAGCGCAAGGGCGGGGAGGATAGCTCCCAGGAGTAAGTGCCTGCCTGGCAAGCGCAAGGCCAGTACCTGGCTTCTTCTTAATGATGTTAATCTCTTTGATAATTGCATCATCTTTGCCTCCACCTTTATACACACATGTTTTCTGGTCAAACTACAAATTTTCCAAATCTCTCTGCTCTGTTTTTAGCTCACAATTCTCATTGCTGGCCACCTTGAAATTACTTCCACCAGATAAATTACCACCTTTAAACTGAGACTCCTGAAAAGTGTGAAGGCACAGAAAAAATGTAGACAAGTTCTTTACTGGAATGCAACACGACCAGCCTCCGGTTCAATTCCTGGCAGCATCCTGGATCCCCCTAAAATCTCATAAACAGTCACCACTCTCCACATTCCAGTCAGCATCCCAAACTTCTGGCTCCCACAAAACTTCCCTTCAATCGCTGCATGCGACATTCTAGCGCTTCTCCAGCACTCACCTTCAAACTCTTCTAGATTCTTCCTACAAACCAGTTCTAAAGCCTTCTGAACCACATGGTCAGATGACACCACAGCAATGACCCTACTAGTAGTATCAATCTTTTATATTAGTCAGCTTCCCTCTTTGGTAGAATAAAACAAATGACATCTACAATGAAAAGAGGAAAGGTTGATCTTGGCTCAAGCACAAATTATTTATCTTTAATGGTGCTAATCTCTTCAGCTGTCCCACTTTCTTTGTCCCTAACTTTATACACATTTCCTTTCTGGGCAAACTGCAAGTTTTTCAAACCTTTGCCCTGTTTTTAGTTCATGGTTTCAGAGATTTCAGCCCCTGGTTATCTGGCTCCAAGGTGAAAACACGGTGGAAGAAAGCTGACTTCCTCACAGAAGCCAGGCTGCAGAGATACAGGGAGACAGCCAGATATGACAGCAAAGGTTACACTCCCATGACCCACCCCAACATACCCAGAGGTATGCTTTACTAATTGGTTAGGTGTCTCTCAAGCCAATCAAGTTGACAATCTAGATTAATCACCATAGTGAACTTCAACACATAGCAACCAAACCCAAGTGATAAACAGTGATAAAGGCAAAAATTTCAAAACCAACCAAAGAAAAAAGGACGTATTGTACACAGAGCAACAAAGCAAAGAATAGCAGTGGTTGAAGTAAAAAAAATGGGCTGGACAGATAGCTTGGTGGTCTAAGTGCCTGCCTGGCAAGCACAAGGACCAGGGTTCAATCCCCACTACCACATGCTGTGCCTGGCACTGAGGAGGCTAAAACAGGAAGGTCACTATGAGTCCGAGCTGTGTAGCAAGACCCTGTACCAAATAAATAAAAGATTTTTTAAAAATTACTTAAAAAAATAAAAAATGTACTTAGTGATCCTCCTGTTTTCTGCCTCTCAAGCGTTGGGATTACAGGCATGCGCCACCACACCCAATCTCATTCACTGATTCAGCGAGCCCTGGGGGCGGGGCCAGCACAGCAGGCTGGGGATCAAACCCCTGGCCCCTGTGTCTGCCTGAGCAGGCACTTTAATCCGTTGAGCTATCTGGCCGTCCAAAACTTTTAAAATATCCAAACTGAAAGAATTCATCAGCAGCATACTAGAAACATTATACACAATGTTAAGAAAAGGTGGGAGAGGGCTGGGGATACAGCTCAGGGGCATAAGTACCTGCCCGACAGGCACAAGGTCCTGAGTTTGATCCCTGGTACCAAAAAATAAAAGAAGGCGGGGGAGGGCTTCACGGGGAATGAATACTGTATGCGAAGAAAATAT